TGCAGGCCAGTGCAGAGCTTGTCTGAGGTCTTGTTAGAATAAAGTTAAAAAGTCAAACAAAAAAGCAGCCAGTACCTAGCGGAGGTCCTGATCAACTTAACCCTCCAAGACCCAGAACAAGTACGGTATACCAGGCTGCCCAGGGGCCTGAGCAGCAGGGATGGCTTACTACATTTTGAAGTGAAGCAATACATGGTGAAGCAATACCATGTAAATTGTCCCTCCACCCTCACCCACCCCCAGACCAATAAGTTCAGAGTAATAATAATAATAATTTATTATTTATACCCTCTTTGACATCTGGTGGGAGGGCGTTCCACAGGGAGGGCGCCACTACCGAGAAGGCCCTCTGCCTGGTTCCCTGCAACTTGGCTTCTTGCAGTGAGGGAACCGCCAGAAGGCCCTCGGTGCTGGACCTCAGTGTCCGGGTAGAACGATGGGGGTGGAGACGCTCCTTCAGATATACTGGACCGAGGCCATTTAGGGCTTTAAAGGTCAGCACCAACACTTTGAATTGTGCTCGGAAACGTACTGGGAGCCAATGTAGGTCTTTCAAGACCGGTGTTATAAAAGAGTCTAAAATTACTTGTGGTTCTACAGCAAGAAGAAAAATATGTAGGAAATGGCTCCCATGGGGACACATCTCCTGAATATCATGTGTAATTATGAGCCTTTTTTGAAGTCCAAGTCTCTGGCCAGGTATTGCCTTAAGCAAGGAAAGGCAACATGGTGCCCTCCAGATGTTTTGGACTACAACTCCCATCAGCTCAGCCAACATGGTCAGGTCAGGAATGATGGGAGTTGTAATGCACAAAATCTAGGGTCCACCACATTGCCTAACCCTGCTTTAGGCAATACCTGGTCAGAGCCTTGGACTTCTAAAAGGATATTTAGGTAACGTGGCTCCATGGGAGCCTAGTGTGATATTCTTGTTCACAGAAATCTGATTAAGAAACTCATGAGAATTCTCTCCCTCCCTCCCTCCCCGTCTCCTGTAGCCCTATGTGACCTCATTTGGCATACAATAATTGCTCAAAATACTACCCAATGGCTGCAACTTTTCAGCAACTTACTACGGCAGACCCTGCTAATATTAAAAGAACTTCAAATTATCTGAGTGTTCTTTGATGTGTTCCTTTATTATCCTACCCTGCATAAAATCCACATTTTGGCATTAATTTTGTGAGAGTTCTTTAACAGGACTAGTTTGTGCATGTTGAATGTTTCCTTGCATGCCTGCATAATATGCTGGCCACCCTGCTTTCCAGGTTTGCAAATGAATGCTAAAGACAATGGCCCCAATCCAGAGAGCTGTGAGTGAAGCAGAAGACAACATCATGCACCCACGGCTGTGGCTGTGTTATAACAGAGCAATGTTTTTTTACTGCACCAATCACCTGTTGGGCAGGGGTAACCCAGTGAGGGGGACTGATCCTGATTCCACCCTATCTTACAGTGATCAGTGCTATGAAGGACCTCGTTCAGAAGCACCTCAAACCACCTCTGCTTTTCTGGTGGTAATGCTATGTCTCCTTACATACACAGACTGGTATAAGGATTGAGTCCTGCCAAGACCTTGAACCTGAGGTCTCCTCGGAGGAGATACAAGGGAAGCAGGATCCTCCAGCAGAGCTCCACACTGCCAAGGGATCCAGATATCCCTGCCAGCTGCCTGACCAGCTCTCACACCTCAGGGCCAGAGGAGCAGAGGAAGTGGTGCGTCAGACAAGAACTTCAGAACCACTGCCAAAGTGCCCATCTAGCTCCACATAAACCTACTCGGCAGGAGGGAGAAGTGCATGGAAACACTCGCTCGGATTAGGGTCTGGATGAGAGCCAGAAAGGGGTGGGGCTTCCTGTTCCTATATAACTTCTCTGTCTGAGCTGCTTCATTGCCAAAGCAATAGTTGTCTCCCAAGCTTCAGACTTCCTGATCATAGGAAATGGACAGTTGGAGGCACAACTTAAGATTCAGGGAGTTCCCCTCTCTTGTTTTGCTTGCAACAATTTTTTGTGCTGATCCAGTAAATATTCCAGTCATAACAGGTATTCTTCCCCAATATCTATCATGCTAACTTAGTACTGGGAAGATTAAAGAACGACTAAAGAATCTTTTGCAAAGCTAAGTGAACTTAATTTAATCCAGAAGTACTAGATAACACAGTTTCCATCCACTACAGCCCTGTGGACAGAAACATTGTAAGAGCTGGCTGTGAGATGAACATAACAATATAATGTACCTGCTGTCTGTGAGTGCATCTATCCACCTACTACTGCTGAATTGCTCCACCAGTGAAGAGATCCCACCAGAAGGCTGACATGGTGGAGAAGGCAACAAAACATGTTTAGAGGACCTGTGACTTTTCTCCTAGGAGACAAGCACACACACCACCCAACACACCATACCAGAGAACCACAACAATAAAGAAATGGGGCTCTAAATGCAGGTATAGGCATGGCCTGAAGGTATGCAGCAAACTTGCTGAAGATGAACAACTCTGGTTCCAGGCAGTGCCTGGATGGAAAACTGCAAAGGAACCCTATTTATGCTGCATTGAGCTCAATGACAGGAGAAAGGTGAAATAAATGAATAATGATTCTTTCTTTATTATTAGCTACATTTAGATAGGCACTCATTAACAAGAGTTCTCTGGACAGCTCACAAAACAGAAACAATGAAAGACACTCTAATACTATTAACAAACTGATTTTAAAAACTGAAACTATCAAAATATCATTAAAAACTCAATTAAGACCTATCAAGCCATCTGCAAAGAGGAGACCAATCTTGCATGTCCGATAAATTGCAAGATCTAAGGGCTGTGTTGCAGATTTCAAACATTCCCACCATTTAGTGCACATGACATCTCAATAGTGCTAAATATATACGAAAAAGTAAGGGCAACACAAGCCTGATTAAATGTTATGGGAGCATCAGAGGCTCTGCCATTGCGGAAGTGGAGCAGGAATGAACCCTTGTATAAGAGTCTATTGAGAGTCATAGATATAGATATACACACTCATCTGAAAATCTAGGTAGAATTTTGCATAGTTAGAGCCTAAATATATATCCACATAGAAATATGAAGAGGGAAGGAAATGTTTTTTTAAAAAGCAACCTTAATAGTATACTGCCCCCCCAATACTATAACTTGCCTCTTCCAACACCATTCCCCTTACATGCTGATTTCCTCCTTTTCTATTTATTATGTTTAACTCTTCCCCAAAAAAATGAAGAATGAATGAAGAATGAATACAACTGTTGGGCTGAAACTGAAGGGCCCACCATCTTGCAAGCTACACAGACATGTCTGATTTCTGTTTCTTATGCCAATTGAAGAAGAAGTGTAGACATTTCCTTCAAATTTGTATCCAAAGCTTGCAGGTATATTTCAAAGAGAAGCTACTGTGGCTTTTCTTCTACCAATAAGAATCACAGATAACCCAAGCTGGACATGCTCCCTTGAAAACATTATCCATCTACCATCATTCATAATCTGTGCAGGAAGGGGTGGATGGATCATGGCCGCTGACCCACTGGCACAGTGTAATGGCTGAAAGCATCCACATGCCTACAAAATGTATGTGCACATTGTAAGGGAACCTTTGATAGGCAAGGTCCCCAGTTGTGTGGACAAAGCCCACATGTTTACAGCTCATGTAGGCTCTTTCAAACATGAGCATAAGTAAGGCATCCAGGACATCTAAATAATACTTCCATGTATTTTAATACTTCCATGTATTTTTCCATGTTCTGCACTCCAGATAACCAGCAGAAAACACTTAAACGTGGTCTATCCCTGTAATTATTAGGAGTAGCTTTGGTTTGCTATTCTGGAAGTTATCTTCTGCTTAAAATACATCCCTCAATATCCTTTTTAAAAAGCACATATAGGTATGGTAATAAAGAAATGTATTCAAATTTACTGATTATTAATCAATTTAGAGTTAATTAATTGACAAGCACTAGCACTCATATATTTTAAGCTAAGCAGTACTGTACTCCACAAGTCCTCAGGCAGTTGCTTTGAAAAGGTGGGCCTATGAATGTAGCCAACAAGATGATCAAGTTTGGAATAGGCTACACTTCTGAAAAGAAAAGCAGGAGGGAGAGAAATCACTAAAAACAAAATTTCCTGATAAAGTATTTTCAGTTTTATTGTTTTGGACAACCTAGAAAGTGGATTGGGTTTGGGGGTTTTAAGAGTGGTGGTGGTTTCTCTTACTGCCCCCCCACCACCAACCTACATGGCCTTATGCCCATATATGAGCTTTGCAAAGAGGTATCTGAAGAAGTGTGCATGCACACGAAAACTCATACCAAGAACAAACTTTGTTGGTCTCCAAGGTGCTACAAGACTATATATATAACAATAATTGTTATGTTCATTTTAGCAGGCTATATTTAGTACATTCCCCAGCATATACTTCCAAGGAACGCAAAGGGTTAACCTTCCACTACTCTTCAGAAACTTTGGGGAAACTCAAGAGAACATTAAGAAGTCTTCTTTTTCAAGTCTGAAAAATCATGTAGCTGCATATTGCTAGACTTGCTTGGATTAGGGAAAGGACTCAGTTGAAGTTTTTCTGCTCTCTGGCTAATCAAGGTGCCAAAGTAACTGATCCATCCCTCTAACAAGAAATTGCCTTTCATTCCCTCTGCAGTAGATTTCTTGAGCTCTCCTTTTATGTTCATTTGTACGGCCCAGACTCTTGTCACTTAGAACTGTCGGGAAATAGTACACTTGACTTTTCCATGCGTGTATTTACAACACAGAACCTCTGTTGTATGCCTAGCAACTTGCCATGAATACTCCCCACCCTCCAACCCGGCGTCGCCCAAGTTCATACATAACCACACGACAGAACTACCTTTCCAACTTTTGCGCCATGAAATATCTCGGTCTCTTGGTGCCTCCTAGGCAGGAGGCCAAATAATCTATTGCACCACTGCTGCTCACTAACGAGCGCCGGCGTTCACACAAGTATCGAAAACGCGGTTACATCGCGTGTGCGCGGGCGCCGCGAGTTTTGGGGGGGTGGGTCGGGGGGGTGCAGCCTCGGCGAACTGTTGCCGCCGCTGCGCGCTGTTGCCTCGGCGCCGCGAACGGGGGGGGGGGGGGAGCGAACGGGAGCCGAGCAGCTCCTCCTCGCGCGCGCAGGAGAAGTTTGATGTTGACAAACTTCTTGTGGCAGCGAGACTGTGTCAGCACAACTTCCAGGAGAATGAGAGAGCTGCTCTTGCAAGGGCGGCGGGAGGCGGCCGCGGGGACGGAACAGCAAATGCTATTCAGCCTGAGCAGTTTCAAGCCGCCCATGCTGGGGAATTACTGTAGTCTAGCTACGGCTCTTAGCACTGGCGCTGGCTCTGTGTGTGTGTGAGAGAGAGAGAGAGCGAGAGCGAGTGAGCTAGCGCGTGCGTCGGGAGAGGAGAGGAGGAGGAGGAGGAGGGAGGGGGAGGCTGCAGGCAAGGGAGCCGAGCCGGGAGCTTTCAAGTTACTTCGCTCCAGCCTTGCCACAGCAGAGGCAGACGAGGCTTCCTGTGGAGCGAGAGCGGCGCCTCCTCTGCTGCTTTGGGGGCTGCGGCCCCTGGAGTCGCATAGCCCATTTCTCTCTCACACACACACGCGCGCGCGCGCTCTCTCCTCTCTCTCTCTCTCTCCCGCACCCGAAAACTCCCTCTTTGTTTCCCCGAATAGGGCTCTCCAAAAATGTATGTTCGGGCAGACTGACAGCCGGGGTCAAGAAACAGCTGTTGGAGTTAATGTTCCTTCCTCCCACTTCGTCTCATGGTGGTGCCCTGCCAAGAGAAAGTGAGAGAGGGAGGACGCGTGCGCTGCCGTTGCCCGCCTCAGACAGGCGGTTCTGCTCGGAGCGAGGAGGTGGCGTGGGTTCCTTTGCACAGCCACGGCTGAGGCACACAAAAACGCGCCAGATGCGTGGCAGAACGCGCGCGCACCTCAACGCGCAGACACACACTTTTGGTGGTCCAGTCTCCACACACACCGTATATATACACACACAACCACACACACGCATACACACAGACACACACCCCGCCTCCAAGCAGTACTTTGCAGGACTTTAGTGCCAAAAGGGCACTTAGACGACGTCTTCTTAGAAGTTCGTCCGCTTCCCTCGCCTTCAGTGACACACGTTGCAGTCGGAAATGAGTTTTTCCACGTTGTTCTCAAATGGGTCTGTGAGGAATTGGGCTGCTGCCATCAGGAGAAGCGGGCGGGGGACGACGACGAGGGCGATGCATTTCGTTTACAGTGGCTGATTCGCCCTGAGGCTTGCCAAAACTCTTGTAGGTTTGTACAAGACAGGAGTACAGAAATAGTTTGTGGAGATGTTTATAGGCTTTTGCATGAGCCTGCCTATCGTTTTCTGAGCCCAAAGCTGAACATGTTGCAATGTTCTCGTCAGGCAACGTTGCTCCGGCGAGTTGAGCACCAGACCTCGCGCCGCCCCCTGCAGGTCTGGCTGCGCATTCCACCGTTACATTGATCCAGTTCTAAGTAAGAATGACTGTACTTCCACGTTTTTTGGTATTGTGTTTTTTTCAAGCAGATACCAGTAGCTCTCTTGGCTCATTATGAAACAGACCAGCCAAAAGTGACAAATAAGGCGATACCCTTTTTAAACCAACTAAATCATCACAAAGAAATAACCTTTAGAGTTGAAAATTCTTTGTCAGGCTTGATGGGCCGTAGCGATGGTGGGGAGACCTTGCTGATTATCAGTAATAGCAGTTTGGGGAAAAGTTTAAACGGAAGAGGGGAAGAATTAATGCAGGCTTAATCAAGTAAGGTTGCCTCAAAGACTAGATGGACAGAGAAGCAAGGCCTCTTGCTCACTCTTTGCAAATATATAAGCCACTAGTTTCTCAGTTCTGCCTCTAGCAGTAATTGGAACTTACTGGCCTCTTACAAGGCGGAATAAATAAAATATGGCAGTTCTTAGATTAGCAAAACTTTATTTGTAAATAGCTAGTGATTAGAGGACATCTAATCCTTTCCAGCCACCGTTTTCTATCACTAAAAGATTGCCTCCTTCCCCACATACTCAACCAATCACATTCTGTAGGAAAGGGTATTCTGCAGATCCATCTACAAAGAGATCTGTTCCACACAATGCTGGAACTGGGTGTGTAGTGTGGTGGCAAATACCCTTTCGAACTCCCTTCCACTGTGTATCAGACAGGCATCTTCTTTATTGTCTTTTCAATGCCTGCCCAGGACATTCCTCTTTCAACAAGCCTTCTGAACTCATTATCCCAGTTGGTATCTGCCTTGGATTTGAACTGATTTTATCTATGTGCTGTTGTTTATTTAAACTGTGTGTATATTCATAATCGTTTTTAAAACTGTTTTTCTACATGCAATTGTTTGAACTGTTTTTTAAATATATGTAGCTGTTTTGTATTGTAAATCACTTATGTTACTGTGTTGTAAATCACTTCGGGATGCCTCAAGGGAAGAGATTCATAAATGAAATACAGTGGTGCCTCGCAAGACGAAATTAATTCGTTCCGCGAATTTTTTCGTCTAGCGAATTTTTCGTCTTGCAAAGCATGAAATCCCATAGGAATGCATTGAAAATCAATTAATGCGTTCCTATGGTCAAAAAAAGTCCAAACAAAGCCAAATTTGGTACAACAAGAGTTTATTAAGTGCTCTTTAAAGTCACACATACTGTAAAGAGCATTTCAAAATTCAAACCCAGAATTTTTTTAAAAAAACAGCAGAGTTGCCCAATGGTCACAGAAAATCATAAAAATGCAGAAAAAAAACACACAAGCTTCCAGATTCTTGCAAACCCCTCCCCAACTGTTCCCCCAGCCACCCAGCACACAGAAATTCAAATCCAGAATTTTTTTAAAAAAACAGCAGAGTGGCCCAATGGTCACAGAAAATCATAAAAATTCAAAAAAAAAACCACACAAGCTCCCAGATTCTTGCAAACCCCTCCTCAACTCTTTCCCCAGCCACCCACCACACAGAAATTCAAATCCAGAATTTTTTTTAAAAAACAGCAGAGTGGCCCAATGGTCACAGAAAATCATAAAAATGCAGAAAAAAACACACAAGCTTCCAGATTCTTGCAAACCCCTCCCCAACACCAAGTCCTTGAATTCCAAACACCCCAACCCAAAATCCAAAACCCCCCAAAAAAGTTTTAAAAGGTTAACTTACCAAATGGCTGCAAAAGAAGTTTTGGAAAAGCTTCAAAAATCACCAAAGTCTTTAAAAACCTCAAAAAAGGCTACTATGTACACTGCGTTCTATGAGTTGCTCCTCGAAGTCAAGTCGCAACTGTATTAACGGTGTTAAGAAAAAGGAAACAAACTTGCAAGACGTTTTCGTCTTGCGAAGCAAGCCCATAGGGAAATTCGTCTTGCGAAGCAGCTCAAAAAACGGAAAACCCTTTCATCTAGCGAGTTTTCCGTCTTGCGAGGCATTCGTCTTGCGGGGCACCACTGTAAACAACAGCAAAGGTTGTCTTACTCTGGTTCTAGAAATCTCCTCTTCAGCAGCTAAATTCAGGATTCTTCAAGGTAGTTTTAAAATTGAATGTAGTCATGTTGGTTCATTAGAAATAATCCAAAAGTAATATCAGAGTAATGTCAAGCTACTTCTCTGCTGTGGACAAGCATTCCTCCCAGTGGTGCTTCCTACTGCAGGCAATTATACATCTTTCACACTGTTCCAGCTAGAACAGAATATTAAAAAGGACAAACACTGGATAACTCTTAGGAGGCATTGATAGCAAAAAAAAAAAAAAAATGTTGGAAAGAAAATTAAAGGCATGAAAATGTTTGCAATAAAAGATTGTGGCAACCTGGATGTGGGTGAAAAAAAAAATAGAGCTATATGCTCAAAGGTACCCAATAAGGTGTTGTTGTCATTTTAATGCTTCCAGAAAATGAAAGGAAGAAGGTGGTGAAGGTAATACATTTTACTGGAGCAATGTATAATGTTAAAAAAAAAAAAATCAATATCTTTGTACTGTTTTGTATCCTATAGAAGTAAACATACCAAATGTTGTTGTTGTTGTTTTTACTGGATTTACCTTAGGTTGGTAGCTCAACCCTAAACCTGAAAGTTCCACTGATTCAGGCCATTTTAAGAAATGTCAATATTTCCTTTTAATTTCCCAAACTTGTAATTCAAATGGTAATATCGTAGAGCAGGATCAAAGTTAGCATTTGCAAATCAAATTGATTTAAATGAGATAGAAATGAACACATGCTTAAATCACCCATTAAAATCAACGAGACAAATATACTTAGCTTTGGCTGGATTCTGCCATTGGTTATTGAGTATAATGTACATTTGATTGATTGAAACTTAGATTTTCTGCATGTATTCAAGAGCATAATCTTCTCTATCACTGATTGCATGATACGTCTTTGCTACAGAAACATACATATGCTTGAGCAAAAATGTTTTTTCTTTATATAGTATATAGAGGCCTACTGCCAATAACAAGCTTAAATTACATGCTTAAATTCTATATTTCAGAGAAAAGAGTCTGGAACTGGAGTGGACATCGTAAGAATGCATATTTATAAGTGCATGTTAATCAAGCGTTTATTTTTAACTTGCTCGAAACATAGCTTATAATAATGTGATCAAGGGTGAGTTGCAAACTAAGCTTCAATGCAAGCTGAGCTATATCAGTCCCCATTACCTTCTCAGAGGTTCTGCTTTCTCACACATTACCAATCTTTTAGCACTTTGGGTTTAGTCCTGGGTAAGTAGTGATTCTCAGATTGGTTCCTCCCATTCCTATGTTCTGCACTGCTTTCTTAACTCTTCTTAACTCTGCCACTCATTCCTAATTACTGCCTTATTTTTGCTAACAATAATGGATAATTGGTTACAGATACATAATAAGAATGAATGCTTGTGCTTTTTAAAGGCTATAAAACTCCTAGAGCCTTATGCATTTTATTCTGTTCATTGAACTTTCCTCTCTAGTTAACCTAGCTTTGTCTTCCCACTTATTAAGTGCTTGACTCTGAAGGTAGCCTACCTGCTATTAATACCTAGTGCATCTGTATCTCTCACACATGAGGCAGCTGAGGAATGGAAGAAGAGGTCTGAGTAAAGCAGGGAGAGAAAGAAGTAGCAGTTTTAAACAGGGCAAATATTTGAGTAGAATGAGAAAGCAGTTGAAAAAGGCTTTCTTGTGTTAGCTGCTGCGTTGTGTTCATCTCCACTATTTGTTAAAATTTTAAAAATCCCAACCTTTCTGTGTTCCTCCCTTCCGAATGTATTCACAGCTCTCCCATTGTTTGAAACGACCACAC